GTAGTAATAGTATATATATATATATATATATATATATATATATATATAATTGAAATACGGGTGGGTGACGATGCTTTTCTTCGGTGGATGGCCTTCCAAGCTATCAAACAAACATAAAAAGTTTGCTGCAACCTCATTATATATAAGAAATAAAATAGAATACTACCCCAACTTAGCTTAAAGTTTAGATTTCGTTAATTGTAATAAATATTTAAAATAAAATAACTAGTTTACAATAAATATAGTCGAATTTTATAATATATTCAAAAAATTGAATATAGCTCACTTATACATAAATTATACTCCTTTCTATTAAAAAAATTGTCTCTATTTTTTTAATTTAAAAAAGAATGATTTTTTTTGGCAACACTTTAACGTTAATTTTTCACATGACATACTTAAAATCACAATATTAAAAGCATTTAGATATATTTGATATAATTTTAATTTAAAACCACAAGATTAATTTTTTTTTTTTTCTTAAAATCTGTTTCAAGTCGAGTTAGGTCGTTTCTTTTTAAACGAAAGAATTATTATAATTATTATATATACTGACAATATATAAGAAAGACGGAGGAAGAAGAAAAAGAAGAAAGGAGGAGGAGGAAGCAAGAAGACAACGAACAAGGTGGAAGAAGACAACGCACCACGGCCATTTTTTTTCTTTTTTTTTTTTTAAAAAAAAAGATGGAACCGAATAGTCAAATTTACATTATTTAAATAAATCGAGTGAAAAGTATACCGCAAGTAAAGCTGAGCCCAAAATAAATTTAGACTGTCAGTTATAAGGAGAAAGAAGTTGGAAAAACAAAAAACTCAATGCTATTTTCCAGGGAATTGTAAATTAAAATAAGTCACAAAAATATAAAAGTAATCAAAACAAGTCACTATTTTAGCAAGTAATTAAAATAAGCTTAGTGAAAGAAAAATATTATATCACTAAGGGAAAGCGTTTAAATTATTAGATATAATGAAACTTTTTCTTCCACTAAACTTATTTTAATTACTTACTAAAATAATAATTTATTTTAATTATTATTATATTTTTATGGCTTATTTGGTTCCAACTCTTTTTCAGGTCAGGAAGAAAAATACAAGGACACGTGATAACAAGCTATTAGGCGCATCATTTTAATTTTTTTATTTTTCAAAATTATGATCCATAAAATTAAACCTACCTCTCTTAATTTATGTGATTCAATTGAAATTTTGAGACTAATGCCTCATTTGTTTACATGTAATAGGAGTCTGAATTTTAATCAATCAGATTTGTGTCATTTAGTGTGTTTATTTTTTGAGAACTAAATCTGAATTATTCAAATTCAATACGTTTGTTTGTTTTATTTCTTTATAAGTCTCTTAATAAGTTTGAATACATCTAAATGAATCAGATCTATAACGCATTCTTAACACAATTCAGACTAAAAAATAAGATTCCTATTTTAATTCAACTATATCATAACAACTCATAAAGTTTTTTTTCTTACTTAATTAATGTTAATTACATGCTTACCGTTATAATTTTTTTTATTCTTACTAACTTAATATACGTCTTTTACTTTCATAAATTAATCAATATATTTGAATTGATAAGTATTTCATGATATAATATTTAGCACGGTTTCAGAAAATAAAAAAGTATTAATTATTTGATCAATAACAATAGCAAATGTCCATTACAAAATAAAATGTTTTCATAAATATTATATTACTACTCTATATAAACTATTTTACACTCCATTACATTAGATTCTCAAAGTTTTTTAGTGCAAAGAATAGTGTTATTAATGATGTAACTTAATGTTAAATTCTTAATAGATAAATTATATTACCTTGTTTCAATAAGAATGTTCAAAATATTATTTTCTATATATAAAAATTATTTTATTAAAATGAGGTTTTTATAATATTTTATTAATATTCAAATGCTTATTCAGATTTACACATCTAAATTTTAATGCATATTTTAATATTTAAATGTGTATTTAGACTCAGTTAATTTTAATTAAAGCAAATGAGGCCTAAATATTTTTGTTTAAGAAATTATTTTATATCTTTAAATTGTAAAACTTTCACATGACTTTTAAATACATAAATTTTATTTTTAAGAACTTAACTAAATTAAAGCTTCTATATCTAAATCTATAGTCAAAATTCAAAATTTTGAAGCTCGAAATTTCAACACTGCTATGTAAATTGACACAGAGGGATTAGGGGCGGAATCACCTTATACGAAGGGATTTTCGACGAAAAATTATCTTATTTATACCTGATTAAAGTATTTTTTTCATGTATATTTAATAAATGTTGAATCTCCTTGGATTACTTCATCCAGCTATGTCTACAAATTTTTGAACCTCCTTATTGAAAATTTTGAATCCGCCATCTGTGGGACTAAATACAAAAATAAATTGTTTAATTTGTAATCATAATGTAAGCATGTCTTTTAGTATGAAGGAATTCCACCTATGAAGATTCTAATTGAACTTACCTATAAATCTACACATATTTAACTTAATATTTCTCACCATACTCTCAAATTCTCTCAAATAATATTCTTCACATCTATGGCTTCTCTTGCTTCTTCAACAACCAAAATTTATTGTAACAAGATCCTTCCTGACATGTTTGATCATGGCAAACATGAATCTCATCTTGGATCAAAGTTGAAAAACAACGAAAAAAACAAGAAAAAATTGGACTTGAAATTGGTTACAAAGGTTGCTAGCCAATTGCCTGTAATAGTTCCACCACCAGATCAAGAGGTGATTAGTAAGGAGAAAAAGCTTGCTGCATGGACTAGCGTACGCCAAGAAAGATGGGAAGGAGAACTCGTCGTTGAAGGCGAGTTACCATTGTGGCTGGTATGTTATTGTTTGTGTATATAAGTTAAATATGAACGTTTCGTGTTACATCCATTTTTTTGTTTTAATGTGAAGTTTTTCTTTTTTGGAATCACTTATATATTATGATTTTTCTTCACCAAAAAGTATTGAGATCAAAGATGCATGTGTACCTAATACATGTTTTTCTCTCAAGAAAATATGAAGTATACATATTGAAAACAAAGGTTTATGAACTTAATTATTCTGCTATTTAGTACACTACTATAGACCCAAAGATTTTCCTCACTTGATAATCAGTCGGAAATTTTGTATTATAAAATATGATTTTCTGAGTCATTTTCGGCCGAGTTAGCTTACTGAAAAAAATGTGTGACGGAAAAGAGATTCTCACTAAAATATATAGTAGAAAAGTTCTAATATTTCTCCATGAAAACATTACTACTTTTTCTTTCTTATCAATTCAATTAGAAAAATCGACGAAAATAGTCGCTAAACATTTTCAAATAAGAAAATAATGATTTCTTTAATAGTGGGTATAAACACTCGTCAAGAAGCTAATTAATAAGAAGCAATTATATTCTTAGCAATAATCTTGTGATGATCTCACATTCAACAAAGGATATTCTCTTCTTTCAAGATGATAAATAATGTATAGTATTAAAACGACAAGAACTATTTAAGATCTGATTGAAGATTAAAAATAAATAAAACAATCTTTTTCCTTCGTATATAAAATATTTCTTTTGGAAAAATAAAATATTCCTTTATCTTTTGTCTGAATAAATTTAATAGGACGTAGTACATCAGCTTAACCTCATTCCACATCATGTCACATTCATTCCAAGTCCAAATTTGAGCACATAAAATTATTTTATTTCATTATTTTCTTTGTCTATGTAGAATGGCACGTACCTAAGAAATGGTCCAGGACAATGGCACATAGGTGACTACAATTTTCGTCACCTTTTCGATGGCTACGCTACCTTAGTCCGTCTTCATTTCGAAAATGGACGATTAATCATGGGTCATAGACAAATCGAATCGGACGCATATAAAGCAGCAAAAATCAGTAAGAAAATATGTTACAGAGAATTTTCAGAAGTACCTAAAGTAGACAATTTCTTATCCTACATAGGTGACATGGCAAAATTACTCTCCGGTGCATCCCTAACCGATAATGCTAACACTGGAGTCGTTAAACTTGGGGATGGACGCGTAGTCTGCTTAACTGAGACGATAAAAGGTTCCATTGTAATTGATCCGAACACCCTAGATACAATTGGGAAATTTGAATATAGTGACTCGTTAGGTGGATTGATTCATTCAGCTCATCCAGTGGTTACGGACAGTGAGTTCATAACGTTGATTCCGGATTTAATGAACCCGGGATATACGGTGGTGAGAATGGAGGCAGGGACAAATGAGAGGAAGTATATAGGGAGAGTGAGTTGTAGAGGAGGACCAGCACCAGGATGGGTTCATTCATTTCCTGTTACAGAAAATTATGTTATTGTGCCTGAGATGTCACTAAGGTATTGTGCAAAAAATTTGTTGAAGGCTGAGCCAACACCACTGTATAAGTTTGAGTGGCATCCTGATTCTAAAGCATTTGTACATGTTATGTGTAAAGCCAGTGGCAACATTGTAAGTCATTCCTTTCTCATCACTTAATTCTTTTATGATGTAAGAGTAATCTAATGGTGAGAGACTATCTATTCAAAAGGTGGCAAGTGTAGAAGTGCCATTATACGTGACATTCCACTTCATCAATGGATACGAAGAAAAAGACGAAGATGGAAGAGTTACCGCTGTGATTGCAGATTGCTGTGAGCATAGCGCAGACACCACCATCCTTGACAAGCTCCGCCTTGAGAATCTTCGTTCCTTCAACGGCAAGGATGTCTTACCTGATGCAAGGTACAATTGAAGGAAATGAGTATTACATCACTTCAAAAGTACATTATTAATGGTGTTTGGTGATATATAGGGTTGGAAGATTCAGAATACCATTAGATGGAAGTCCATATGGAGAATTAGAAGCAGCATTGGATCCAAATGAACATGGAAAAGGCATGGATATGTGCAGTATGAATCCTGCTTATTTAGGCAAGAAATACAGATATGCTTATGCTTGTGGTGCTAAGAGGCCTTGTAATTTCCCCAACACCCTCACCAAGGTCAGCTTCTTTTCCTTACAATGGTTATTGTTTCATCATCAAGTAATAACTGACAATATTTTGCAGATTGATTTATTTGATAAGAAGGCAAAGAATTGGTATGATGAAGGTGCTGTGCCTTCTGAACCATTCTTTGTGGCTCGACCCGGTGCAACAGAGGAAGATGATGGTAATTAGTTTACCAAAGGTCATTTGGCCCTGTTCTGAACAAGGTGTAACATTTTTGAACTATATATGCAGGTGTTGTAATCTCAATGATCAGTGACAAGAATGGAGAAGGATATGCTCTAATACTGGATGGATCAACATTTGAAGAAATTGCAAGAGCTAAATTTCCTTATGGTCTCCCCTATGGGCTACATGGTTGTTGGGTTCCAAAGATATAGTATCACCCCACATCCAAGACAATGTTATATCATATTAGCCTAATACAATCTACAAGTTATAATAAGATGATATTACTAAATTTTCCAGTTTTTGAAATAGCTATTAGTGTACTATTTTGTGTATATTTGCTCTCAGTAATAGAATGTGTTAAACCATATTAATAGTATGAATGCATATACTCTAAAATGAGTAATTGACATGAGATATCTATGTTAAAATATCAAAGATTCAACAAGGAAAAACCAAGAATGTTCCTGATAACTAAAAAGGTACTGAAAGATATAGTTGAGGTGCACGTAAGTTGACCTTGACTTCACCTTTATACAAACAAAATTGCCTGCTGGAATTGAGGAGTTGCAATCGCTTATGGTATTGAAGTATTCAAACTGTAAGAAACCTTTCCCTCCAAATATGTTCTTTCTAAAATCACCATTGTCGGTGAAGCTCAAGAACAGACTTAAGCTGGGCTTTCTATGGATAAATCATAAAACTTAATCATAAAGTTTTAGAGGTTTTCAACTAGAAAAAGGTATGGTGATCTTCATCTCTAGTTATCTTTTCATCTAGAGAGCCATTCTCAAATATTTTGAAAGAGAAAAATATGATCAAACACTTTTTTCTTCAATCTTCCATGGGTTTTCATTATCCACTAAGCCAGCATCAGTTCGAGTTGTTCTACAGATCCAAGTAATAAAAACTGACATGTTAATGCACTAAACCAGATGCTTCAAAACTTGCATTTCAAATACACATATGAGATCAACAAGAAACCCCACCTCTAGAAACAAGTTCCAAAAAGGAGATTCAGCAACATATTACATACTTCTGCAGCAGAAATTTTGGAAATATAACTTTAACTATAACATAGAAACATTAGTCTTTCTGACAAGTCCATGTGAAGAACCAAGAACTTCGGTAGATTCAATTGATCAAGTCATACATATACAAATAACTCTGAAACTTAGCTCTTAGCCTCTCACTTTACTAACTCAAGCTGAAGACGTTACAATGAGATTCATCATGCTAGCTGTTAAAGAGAAACAACAGTATTGTATTGCCAATATAACTTTAAACTTCAGATTGTATTTTTAAAGCACATTTGTTTTACAAACAAAAGGGAGGCAATATTATTGGGTTACCAAGCATCTAAAGATTCCTCCTATCAGTTGAAAGATCAAATCCTATGATAAAATTGGGCCAAACTGCAATGTGTTCCTAAGATGAGACGATCTGTAGATTCTTTGTAGAAGTAAAACAGCTAGATGACGCCATATATGATTGACTACAGGACTCTAATGAGCTGAATGTCGTTATCATCGTTCAACAGCCTCAACAACCAGCTGTTAGGTGTTCATGCCACTGTTAAGTGGAATAATAACCTAATACTTTTGATCTGTATACACAGCATCAACATCATCAAGTTCAAGTAATTTGGACATTAGTTCTTTGTTCAACTCCATAGCCTCATCATCTACCTGCAGCCCAAAACCAAAATACTAACTACAAACATAGATATGTGTAGTAATAATTGGAAAGATCAAATTCAGCTTTTAACATAAACTGATAAGTAAAGCATTGAACTGCGCTAATTTAAACTGAAAAAAAAACAAGTTGTGGATACAAGGTCCATGTAGTAATAAACCTAGAAAGAAGCTAAAGTAGGTGACCTTCAAAAGTTTGTAAGACATAAGAGAAAGAATGAACTACTCTATTTAAAGCTGATCAATTGCTTGCACGTTCATCCATCAGTCTCAAATGGTGAAAACCAGACAACCCAAGCCAAATACTTCATGGGCTCAGGTTGGCTTGACTAAAATCACTCTAGACTTGAGATATGCTTGAGCTCAACCAATACTGATAAGGCAACTACTAATCTTCTATTGAGAGATTTTAGTCTCAGTTCCCTAATTTCTTTTTTGGTACACACAGAAAAATCCCTGTTGTATAGACGACAGGGGTGGAGCTTGTAGAGAATAATAGCTTTTTGTAATTCTCCGCTTTTGCTATATCTCTCTTGTATATGGCTGTCTTGGCCATGTTTATTATCAAAAATACATTTACTAAGACAAAAAAGTAAATTTGAGACCTTCAATTTTTGGAGCTAAAACAATTGCTTTAGTTGTTGTGCCCCTGATTTGTCCTTGTTGAATATTATAATCAAATCATGTAAAAACAACTGGACTAAAACTTCTTTTTGTATAATAACAAAATGATCTTGGATGTTGAAGTTTGAATATTCACTACTAAATCTATGAGATTTTAGATATTCTTATGTTTTGCAATAAAGATTAGCCTTTTGAAGATTTAAGTTATCAGAAACACAACGCTACATGGTATGAAAAAGCTCATAACCACATCAATTAGTGGAATATGTTATGATTATATTTACATTACAAAAGGTCAACAATTCACACATCAATTATTAGATTTCTTTTCTAATTTCATGGTTAAAACATATTATCTTATCAAAAGATCAAAGATTAAACAAGTGCTGTCAAATAAGAAGAATAAAATTTTGATATGCTGTACTCACAAACCTCAATTGGAGTAGTAGGAAGTAGCTCAGATCCGTTGTCAGGTTTAAATTTTATTCCTTCCTCTTGTAATTTTGATAATATTACTGGATAGTTCTCCGCAGAAGACACGACTTTGTAAACCCTACTAAAGTAAACCAAATAAAAAAGAAAATAGTCAGATGTGCTGATATTAGTACATCCAGCATGACATTAGTTCATCAGCAGACAAGAGAAGGTTGTTTTAGTGGTAAGACTCCTCCACTTCCAACGAAGAGGTTGGAAGTTTGAGTCACCCGGGGGGGATGGAAAAACCACTATTGGCCCGTGGAAGAGAAGGTTTTGGGGTGATGTTTAGAAGATGAAAAGAATTCATTGGCAACCATGAAATTGCAATTGAAATAACATAGGTGTGCCAAATCAAGGCTGCAGTAGACTTGGCAATAGCAGTAACGGGTTGTTGGAGTTTATTTTCAGCAATGAAGAGAATCAACTTATGAATAACACCCAGAGAGGTTTCTTTGACTAAATGTATATGCCTGAAAGAACCATAAAAGTAAACTCTGGGTCCAATCGCAAGAAACTTTACTGCGGGATGAAGCAAATAAGAAGATAATCTTTACCAATTTATTTATCTGCAACAAAGCAGTTAGCATACGAACCTCTCAGATGAATCTGCTTCTGTATCATATTCATCCATTGAAGGTTCAATGATATCTTCAGCACCAGCATCCAAAGCAATTGTTAAGAGCTGGTCGCGGTCGACATCAGTGACTTTAACATTAGCAACCCGAGCACGTTGAAATTTGAACATAATGGATCCTGGATCTGCCATCTTCCCACCATTGTCCTTCACCACCTCTCGAACTGCTGCCACTGACCTATTTACTTTGTCTGTTAAGACCTCAATGATGATACCAACTCCACCATAACCATATACCTGAGTATAGAACAGGAGTTCATAGTTCACTGAATTGCAATAGTCAAGAGAGTTACCAAAAAGGTTTGTGTAAAAATTGTTGCTTATTAGGTAACAAATTCATACAAGTCTAAATGTTCAATACCTCATAGATCTTCTCAATAAAAGCCTCTTGTCCCTTTTCTGAAGCTCTCTTTACATTGCGGTCAACAATGTCTTTGGGTATATCAAGTTCCTTAACTTTCTCAATCAGAGCAGCGAGAGCCGTATTAGATATTGGACTTGGACCACCTTTCTTAACCCTGGTCATTCAGGAAACAGTACTCATTCAGAAATGCAAGGTAAGGTTGAGTACAATAGGCCCTTGTGGTTGGGCCCTTCTCCAGACCCTACGCATAGCACGAGCTTTAGTGCATCAAACTGCCACCTTTACTTCTTTTTTTTAAATCATAACAATCACAAAAATAGACTTCTGGAAAAGGGTTCTAGCTGGCAACAAGATAGCGCTCAAAAGTTCCAATGGGACGTTAAGACCTCAAATAGAAGAGAAAAATTCCATTCATTTCAATATTGATTTAGACGAATGCCTACTTTTCATTTCCATAACTTACGCAGAAACAATTTCCTTCCCGATTTTTGAGTACAGCTTTGCCTTCTTAAGATCCTGAGCAGTCTGCATAAAAGAAACATTGACTTAAACAACATCCAAAATGCTAGAACTGTGCTAACTCCTGTTGCTGGACAACCATTTGAAATATAATGATACAATATACATTGCTGATCACCGTAATACGTCAGTATTGGCTACTTATTCCTTGATAAATTAAATTAATCAAGAAACACAACCACAATAATCACATATATTAGAACACCTATAATATTGTGAAATACACGAAAAGAAGGTGTGCACCTTTATCTGCCATAGCAACGCACAATTAAAGACAAACTAGGCTGAGTCTTCCTCACCTTCGGCTTGTGACAGCTGATACCTTATGGAAAAAAGTCTTAGCTTAACCCAGAAAAGGGGACCTAGCCTCATATTTGTAGACTTGAAACCTTAACCTAGTGTGCCTCCCCATTACAGGCTCACTAGTCTCCAACAGACCTACACTCTTTCCAGCCCACAACTATTACATGAAATGATACAGGTTCTTGGCATTAGAGAATGTTACATCGATAATGAACCTTATAAATTGTTCACGAGAGAGTAGTCCGTACTACTGAAATTATTTGTATCACAGTTAAATCTGAAACAAAGCTTGTTTTTCGGCTGTGGATCTGATTGTTGCGTATATGCACTACATTATTTTATTAAAATAATCCTAGTGAATTAAGTTCAAAGTTGATCTTGATTTTGGGATCTTAATTAGTAAGAGGTGTTCGTTTTAACACATATGTGCTTCCGCTAGTAACAACAATCAGATAAGAGTCATTTATAAATCCTCTATTAAACGAAGAGTTTATGAAATTAAAGATCTTGATCCAGGGTAGATAATAAATTATTTTATCTTTGAGACATTTGTGTCAGCGTGTGTGTTTTCAAATTGATAGTCTTCTTGGATCTTTTTTTTCTTTTGATAACCGAGAAATCTGTTTGTGACCAGCTCTTTGGACCACTCACAGCCTTCTAAACTCGATGGATAATGGGCCCGCCCGTCTATCCTTCTCCACTTAAGTATCGGGCTTCACATAATGTGGGGCTTGAACATGCGCTCTAAGCCACAAATCCTCCTTGGGGCGGATCATATTAACAAAGCGGGTCTAGATTTCTTAAATTTATTTATTGATATTTGTTGGCTTGACTAGAATCACTCTAGACTTGATGTATGCTTGAGCTCAACCAATATGGGTAAGGAAACTAGACATTACTCGACTATATTCTAACTTTCAACGCTAATCCATAACTTACGCAAAAATAATTTCAGTATTCTAGACTATCCGTCTCATGAACAATTAATAAGGTTCATAATCTATGTAACCTGCTCTAATGCCAAGTGTAGATTAATTGAGAAACATGATCACATAAAATCACGCAAAAAGAATGTATGCACCTTATCCACCATAGCAACGTAGAACTGAAGACAAACTAGCTGGCCTTCCTCTACTTTAGCTATTAACGACGGGCACCATATGAGAAAAGATCTTAGGTTTAAGCCCTGCGTCATAAGCCAAAGGAGAGGAAGACTCAGTGTAGTTTGTCTTAGTTGTGCATTGCTATTGTGGATAAAGGTACACATTTTTTGTGTATTTCACAATATCATAGGATTTCTTAATATATGTGATTATTGTGGTCGTGTTAATTTATACTTGGCATCAACACATATTACATAGATTATGAACCCTACAAATTGTTCATGCGATGAATAGTCAATTGTATCGCGATTAAATCTAAAATGAAGCGTATATGCACAACATTACTCGTTAGCAATTTTGTTTTAACACATATGAGCTTCCTCTAGTAACAACAATTTGTTAAGTGATAAAGAGTCATTTATGAATCCTCTGTTGAACGAAGATTTTATGAAATTAGAGATCTTGATCTACAGTTTTCAAATTTTGGTATATAATAAATTGTTTTATGTTTGAGATATTTTTGTTGGTGTGTGAGCTTTCAAATTAATAGTTTTTTTTTTTGAGAAAAAAAAACAATTTATACATGGATCATATTGATAGTTTTCTTGGATCATATTAACAAAGTGGGTCTAGATTTCTTTAATTTATACATGGATTAGCTTGACTAAAATCACTCTAGACTTGAGGTATGCTTGAACTCAACCAAAACGGGTAAGGGAACTAGACATTGCTCGACTACATACTAACCTTCAACCCTAATCCATAACATACGCATAAAGGATTTCAATATTCTAGACTATTTGTCTTATGAACAATTAATAAGGTTCATAATTTATGTAACATGCTCTAATGCCATGTGTAAATTAATTGAGTAACACGATCACAACAACCATATAAAATGAAGAACACCTAAGATATTGTAAAATACGTGAAAAGAATGTGTGCACGTTCTTCCACCATAGCAATGTACAACAGAAGACAAACTAATTGAGTCTTCCTCTACTTTAGCTTATGATGGATGGCACCTTATGAGAAAAAATCTTAGGTTAAGTCATGCATCATAAGTCAAAGGAGAGGAAGACTCAGCATAGTTCGTCTTGAATTGTGCATTGTCATAGTGGATAAACGTGCGCACTTTTATCGTGTATTTCGCAATAATATCATCGGACTTCTTAATCTATGTGATTACTGTGGTCGTGTTAATTTACACTTGGCATCAAAATTACATAGATTATTGACCTTATTAATCGTTCATGCGATATGAATAGTTCGGTTTAATGAAATTAACGCAATTTGTATCGCGGGTAAATCTGAAATGAAGTTCGTTTATAGACTATGATTTTGTTTTGATTGTTGCGCATACCACAACATTATTCTATTAAAATAGTCTGGGTGAATCAAGTTCAAAGTTGATCTTGGCTTTGAGGTCTTAACTCGTTAGCAATTTTCTTTTAACACATATGTGCTTCAGTTAGTAACAACAATATGATAAGTGATAAGAGTCATTTATGAATTCTTTATTGAACAGTGAGTTATGAAATTAGATCTTGATCCACAGCTTTCGAATCTTCGTATATAATAAATTGTTTTATCTTTGAGATATTTTTGTCATGTGTGTTTTCAAATTAATAATCTTCTTGGATCTTATTAACAAAGTGGGTCTAGATTTCTTAAGTTTATTTATGAAAACTACCTATATCACTCAAAATGGATCTTAACCATCTTAAAATGTGTTGTTGAAGAAGGAAAAAATAGACAAGAGAATTCTTTTTTTCCCATGATTGCAAAGCAAGCTCGAGAAAGGGGACCTAGCCTCATATTTATTGGCTTAAAAGCCTTAACCTAGGTTGCCTCCTCATTATGGACTCACGGGTCTCCAACACCTACACTATTGTCAACCCACACCTTTTACATGAAATAATACATGCCCATGTGGAATCTACATAAATACATTATTTGTGTGCTGTCCACCAGCTATTAACATTCAGCCTGTTTTGCTAAAAACATAATAATACACTAATGTATAGTCTCCATTTAATAAATAAATTTAGTTTTCCTTCTGGGTCACACTGAGCTTGCCTAGTGCAGATTACTTCTCTGTGGTTTACAAGCTATTGCATAGGAGCAGGGCTTTTACCAAGTACGCACCCAAAGGGTGGCAACTGTGGGTTTCTCTTGTAATAAAAATCATTTAAAAAATAAGTCTAACCTAATGAACTATCTAATCTCAATAAATGCATCACTCTATTTCTACTACTACAGTCAAATAGCGTCAAACTTCATTACAGATTTCCAGGATGTTGACTCTACATAACAATGAAATCACAATGCTTCCGCAGATCATTACTACATATAAATTTATGAACACTTCAGAGTTAAGACATTGGGCTGAACATCCGCTCTACCTCTAAGGTAGTAGTAAGATCTGTGTAAACTCTCCCTCCAGACCCCATTTTGTGGGACAAGATTAGCTATGATGTTGTTATTGTTCAGAGTTAGGATGGACCAAAAGACTATTTTTCTTTGATAGATGAAATCAAGTTAGGAAGAAAGATTCTAATTTGTGGTAATCTCTAAGATCCCAATACATTTGAATAGTATTGAATCGGAGAGTTAACAATATTTGTATCAAAGAAAATACAACAATTAGAATTGTTTTAATTTTTTTGCTCAAAGGAAAAGAAACGAGAACTTTATGATTTAAATGTAAACAGCAAGAACATTTTATACCTTTCTACCAGCAATTTTGCAGGAGCGCCTGCCCATACAGAGAGGAGAGGAAGTCCAAATCTTTCTCACTGAATTGCTCGATTGAAGTTCTAAAGGCAAGACCTTTATATCAGACGATGAATACGATGAAGAAGACGAAAAATTCCCACTCAATAAAAAAATACCTACAATGAAAATAAACAATTTAGGAAAATAAGGTATAAAGATTTGATTTTTATTGATGTGTGGAAGTACTTACTTCTGAGAGTGCTAGAATGGTGGGGTTTAAGATAAACCCCATTTGAGATTCTGCAGAGAAGTGAACCAAAAGCTCGAATTGAAGAAGATGAATACACCATTGCTATTCTATAAACTTCTAATTGGGTTTCAGTGAATTTCTACTTTACCATCAGAATTCTAGTGGATGCATTTGTGCTGCTCAATCCTCAGTACTAAACAATCTAGATACAATAAAGTTTTCTTGAATAACGGTGCCAGATGAAGAGGATGGAGCGCTATATAAGCAGCCGAGTTGAAACTAAAACCCCTGAAAAGGAAAATATTTTATGTTGAACCAGGGTACTAAAAGAAACCTATAAAACTTTCACCAAATTGAAAAAATTAAAAAAGAATTTACTTTATGTCTACAAATATTGGATATCCTCAAATAGAAACTATATATATAATGCATTTATTTATTTTTACTTTACAGAAATAATATGTGATTCTAACGTGGATCCGGAATAATGTGGTGACCTACGTGATGGACAAAAAAAGAGAAGTAAGATTGAGATAGTTTAAACATGTGAAGAGGAGATGCATAGATATACCAATGATGAGGTGTGGAAAGTTGGCTATAGGAGGCACGAGGAGAGACAAAAGTAGGCTGAAAAAATTTTGGGAAGAGGTGTTAAGAGGGGATACGATGCAACTTCAGATAACCAAGGATATGGTTCTATACAAGAGGATGTGGAGGACTCGCATTAGGGTAGAACGGTAGTAGGTGGTGTAGTATAGTGTTGTCTTACTTAAAGTTACTGGTGTTTGGATACTAGTGTATTATGGTAGTTTTTTACGTGTATCATTGTTGTTTATGGTTTGTCATTATCAGAGACTCATAGAATGTCATAAATAGTCCCTTAACTATAGGAGTAGGTCTAAAATGATCTCTTAACTATATTTTTTTATCGTATTTAGTCCTTTGATTATATAAAAACTTATTTGTTTTGGTCTATTAACTATACACTTACCGATTTTAATTTTTCAAGTATTCAAAAACTTATCAATTATGATCTTTTAAGTATACAATTATCAGTTTTAATTCTTTAAGTGTTCAAGAATTTATCAGTTTGGGTCTTTCTCCATTTGTCTTTATACAAATAGCTTAGTTATATTTATGGAACTCTCCGTGAAATGAAATCTTTAGCTCATTTTTTAAATTGTTTCTCTATCCCCGCTACTTTTCTTCAAATTGCTCTTATGAAAAGAATAATAACCACAATGAAGCAAAATAAAATTAATGAGGAATAAGATGTAAGTCTTAGTTTTATTCAATGGAGGATAGAATAAAGCAAATATTTGTTGTTAATGACTTAAATATGTTGTGTTCTCTTCTTCAGCGATCAACGGTTCATAATCGACACAAATTTTTTTAATTTTATTTTTCATTCAAAAAAATAAGAGATTTGATTTTATCACTTAAATTTCTCTACATAAAATAAAATGAATAGAATAATAAAGTCGTTGGAATACAAATTAGTAATAGCATGCTTCATTTTATCGTCTAAAATTATGATTTATATTTCTTTCCTTGTGAATTTTATTTTGAATAGTTAAGGTTAAGGTTCCTTACACAAGGGTAATTTGAAGTAAAAGTAGCGGGGGGAGAGAAACAACCCAAAAAAATGACTAAATGATTAATTTCTTGAGACATGAATTATGCTATATAAACCTAAGTAATTTATATAAAAATAGACGAGACCAAACCTGATAAGTTTTTAAATACTTAAAGACTAAAACTGATAAATACATAGTAAGAGATGAAAATCGACAAATGTATAGTTAAAAGATGAGATAAGTGTCAAAAACACACCTAAACTATACTTTTTTTTTGAGTTTCATACCTAAAACTATTGAAAGTTTGAGTTTTGTACTTAAACTATCACTTTTTAGTTTGAGAAACACACACCACTCTCTTTTATACCACTCTCATCATGGTATGTATAATACACTCTCTCTTTTATTTTAAAGAATTTCCACATTACACTCCACATGAACAAAATATTCAACCTTGACACAAAATAAATAAATTACTAGTATTAGCTAAAATTAAAAATTAAAAAAATATTATAAAAAATAATATTTTCTTTATAAAATAAAATGTAAAATATTTTTCTTACCCCACACCATTTTTTAAAGTTTTTTATTTTGTTTAAATTTCTTTATAAAAGATTTCATTTTTTACTTCATCTCCTCCTCCTCATTAATACTAATTTAGATATTATTTTATTTTTTAAAAAATAGAATTTTATCTACGGAAAAGGGTCTAAAATACCCTTGAAGTATTAAAAATGGTATAAAATTACCCTTCATCCACCTATTGACTCCAAAATGCCCTTTTAATCCACCTATTGACTCCAAAATACCCTTGTCATCCACCTTTGAGTTCAAAATTGACCACTTATTTAATAATTTTAAATTTAAACTATTTAAATATTTCTAAAATACTTGATGTTCAACTATTGGTTATAATTTAATTAATTTGTATTATTTATAAACCAACTCACTACCCACCCATTACTAACTAAACTCCACCCAATTAGTAATCCAACTATAATATCAAAATCGTCATAAACACTACTAAAAAACGGTGAAATTATAGATTAATGAAAATGACATCCAAAATTATTCGAGTCCGAATCGAAACCCCAATTAAATTTATGTTGAGCTGCTTAAGGAGGACACTTTCAATTTGATTCTCTTTCAAGATTGAATTAGAAATTTATGATTAAAGGTAAAGAAGTAATACATCCCGAATTAATTCATGCACTTTTTTAAAATATAATTTTATAAATATTTATGATTTGCTTTAGAACCTTTAATATATTATTTTGAAAAAAAGTTACCTATGAAGTAACATTACATAATTGGGACGTAAGAATAATTAAGATGAACATAGTCAGACTTTTGAGTTTATCGATAATTTTTATTTAGACACTTGAATGTATGATAATTTACTTCTATAGATATTTTCGTCTCAAATTTTTAAAAACACTCAATTGGCAGTAGCTTTTCTGTCGTTGCATTAATAATGTGAGTGATTTATTAATCCGGAGAGTTTAATTAGTAATGGGTGGGTAGTGGATTGATTTATAAATTATACTAATAAGTTAAATTATAACAAATAGTTGAGCGCCACGTATTTAAAAAAATATTTAAATAGTTTAAATATAAAACCGTTAAATAAATGGTCAATTTTGAACCAAAAGGTGGATGACAAGGGTATTTTGGACCCAATAGGTGGGTGGGAAGGGTATATTGAACCCAATAGGTGGATGGAGGGTAATTTTGTACAATTTCCAATACTTTGAGGGTATTTTAGACCATTTTCCGTTTTATCTATCCCACTTAACCCTCGGCTTTCAATTTTTTTTTCAGTGTTTAGATATGCATATCGAAAATATTTTTTACTTGCCACCACAAGACTTTTATATCTTTTAGTTGTTTATGTCATATTCGATACACTACTAGAAATTTTTTTAAAAAAAATATATGTACATGCATATCTAACACAAAATAAAAAAATGTAAAAAAAAAAAATAGGAGTGGAAAATTAAATAGGATGGGGTAGATTTTTTTAAATAAAATAATATCAATTTCTGTCGGGAAAAGGCGAGGACGAAATTTGAAATTTTTAAAAATATTTTATAAATATTTTTTTTAAAAAAAGGATGGGGTTGTCGCGGGGGAGAGCGGTACGTGGAGGAAGTGGTGGAATGAGATAAAAAAAATAATTAATTTTTTATATGGATAATAATCTTTAATTTTTAATTAATATTAATTTTTATTTATTTTTTATCTATGTAGAATGTCATGTGTTAAAGGTTTTTCATATAAAAGAGAGAGTTCACTACATACACCACTCATATATGTTTCTCAAATTAAAAAGTGATAGTTTAGGCATGAAATTCACACTTTCAATAGTTTAGATATGAAACTCAAAAAAAGTGAATAGTCTAGGTATGAAACCTACACCTATTTGCTATATTCTCTACATTGTATCCTTTTCTATATCTAATTTGTTGCACTTGAGCAGAAGGTCATTCGAGAACAACCCTCTACCTTGACGAGATAGTGATAAAGACTGCATACATTCTACCCTTATCCAAACATCCCTTGTGAAATTTCACAAACAAAGCATATTATTGTTAAAGTTTCATAGATTTAAAAAAATAAATTAAACCACACATATAAGTAAGGCTGACAGTGGTACCGGAACCGGGAGAACCGGACCGGTAATTATCGGAATCGGTACTGTGTGTACCGATAACGTTCCGGAACCGGAATCGGACCGGTCCGAAAAACCGGTAAAATTAGTAATGTTCCGTCTCGGTCCGGAAGTGAACCGGTAGTATACCGGACCGGATCGGTACTTAAAAAAAATTTAATTGAATCTAATTTTTATTATAATAATTAAGCAATTTAAAAATTT